AATCAAGTAGTTTGTCTGTCAGGCACGTCAACTGACGAGCCACTAAGTCGGGCAGTAAGCGAGTATGTATGTGACTAGACATTCAGGTAGTAGATAATTTGTGAGAATTACACGAAAGATAACATGGCTTTATTTATTTTCAAGAGAGGACGCCATTATTTTGAATTTGTGACGTGCCGCCGCTTATCTCTGGACGACAAGGATCAACACGAGAAATACAATGTACGCTTCTTAGCCTTATAAGCCCATAATACCGAGCTGCAATAAGCCCATAACCAAACAAATATTTAGTGGGATAGATTACAGGAAAAGATCCGGCTTTAACGAAAATTGTCTTTGCCCCTGGTTAAATAAACGTCCCTAAGAGCACAATTAATAATCTAATGGCAATTTGTAGAAGTTCTTCCTCCTATGCTTCTCTGCGTGGGAACTGAGGATTATGGTAAGCACTGCCCACACAATATTAACAGTTGAGTCTGACAAGCTTCTAGCTTGGGATGAACTGCCATTGCGCTAGACAGCAGTGTCGGACTGGTTCACAAAAGAAATTGTTTCAAATGTGTAGCTGACTTTGTTCTTAAAAGAGCAGGTTATAGTTTTGGGAACTTTATTTAATTTTCTAGGTTTATTCTTAATTTCATCAGTAATATCACCAAGGCTCGAGGTCAGTCCTTCGTAATCGGGAAAAGCGTGTCGATTTGAATCTGTCATTCCAAAGTATTTGAATCCTGTCGCATTTTTAAGAAAATGTTAGTAACTTTTGTATTATGAATTGTCCTATATTCCAAGAAATGAGTTCACATTTGAAGCTTGAAATCAATTTAAATAATATTTATACATTCTGATCGTACTTCAAAGAAAGCATAGTATTACTTCAGTACAAAAACTTATCGGTAAATCCTCTTTAGGATAATAATCTCTTTATTCTAAGAACAATATGAAGCCCATAACAGCCGTGGGAAAAATGTGAAGCTCATTTAATATTAAAGATTTGCAGTGCTTACAACATCCACTGTGTTCTAAAATGTTAAATAAGGAGATACGATATGGGGTGAAGGGAGGGAAGAAGTGATGAACACTCATCCGGAAAGACACGCCAATAGAAGGTCAGTCCGTCACTGTTATGCCAGCATTTTCTCTCCGAACCCTGCTAATCGGGTTAGCCATTAAAATCTTCAATCCCTTGTAATGTGTATCCTGTAGGTAGACAACCGTGCAACACCAGAAGCAGGTGGCATAGATTCAAATGCAGTCTCTTGTTTCAATTGCGCATTAGCGTTCCGTGAAGGTAAGGATCCTCAGCGTTTTTATTCTTATTTGCTTCACTTCCCACTAATTTAAGTACTTAAACAGATGTATCTGGGTCCACACTGAACTGGGCACAATGGTAAAAGGGGCTCAAACTGAGATTCGCCTTTATAAATGTGTGAGTAATGCTTAAAATTTCAGTTCCTACCTCACAGAGAACAAACCACTTCTCCGCGATGATGACTGGTTAGTGATGATTAGGGAAATCTTCGCTGTTCATTCTGAGAACCACACGATACCCGTAAAAACACTTTGTGGAGAAAATTGAGAGTATCTTTTAACGTTGAAGCAGGTGATACGTATTTATCGTACTGATACTGAATCCTGTCGTGTCTATTCCATGTTCTTTTTCCTTGGCACTACAGCCCCAGTGGGCCTAGGCCTACTTCCATGAACTTTTCCGTTCACTTCGGTTTTTCTAGATCTTACACATTCGGTAGGATTCCTTGGGCGGGTGATCAGCTCGTCGCAAGGCCTCTACCTGTAGACAAACACAGATAGACGAACACACACAGACTAAACATCCATGCCCTGAGTGGGATTCGAACCCACGATTCCGGTTTCCAAGCGAGCGAAGACAGTATATGCCTTAGACCGCTCGGCTACCGTGACCGGCCCTATTCCAGTTTACCATACATAATTATAATCTCTCCTTGCTTTATGTTGAACAGGTTCACGTAGGAACTATATAAGAACGGATCTTATAGTAATAGCAGGGGTACAGGGCAGCGCTGATACACTATGCTACAAGCAGAAAGGTCGCGGGCTAGATTCTCAATCAGGCCACTGGAATTTTCAATACACCTAATCTTTTCAGCCGCGCTATGATTCTGGGGCCGACTTAGCCTCTAACAGAAATGAAAACCACGAATCTTTCTGTGGATAAAGGGCGGCCGGAGCGTAAGGCTGAGAAACTGACCGCCATCTGTGAGCCAATTGTCTAAAGAAAATGTGGGAGCCTCCACGTCTCACAACCCTATAGGCCTTCACTGTCTGTTACAGGGATACCTTTACCCCTTACCTATAAAGTTCATAAGGCGTACGCGGTTGCGTAATTGGTTGTATTACTATGCTACAAGCCGGAAGGTCGCGGGTTCATTTCCCGATGAGGCCACTGGATTTTTCAATTGACCTAATCCTTTCAGACGCGAAATGGCCATGGGGTCGATTCAGCCCCTAATAGAAATGAGTACCAGGAATATTTATGTAGATAAAGGGTGATTAACGCTTAAGGCCGACGACCTCACCGACATCTGTGTGATGATTGTCAAGAAAATGTGGCAGGCTCGACTAGAAGAAGAGGTTCCAGAATGGATATTTTGTGCTCTTGTGAGCACCGTAACAAGATTTAGGTTTCTGTAAAATGCAGAAACATCTCCAGTAGCTAAGTGACTCTTCGATTCCCAAGGACTCTGCTTTATGTAGCTAAATTAAAAACAAGAAAATATTATACGTACGTACATATTAGAGAGAAACTAAATTGTAAACAAGAGTCCAGTTTTTGGGACACGGTGTAGGAACCTCACGGGGAAGAGAGTTTACACTTGAAAAAAAAGGCGGTATTGTATTTTTGTAGGGGCAATCTATATGCAACATTTCCCACTTCTCAACTATAAAGTGGATAACAAACTTCAAATTTCCCCCCATTTCTTTCTTTTCCTTTATTTGCTGACGCCTACAGCTATACAAAAGTCTTAACATCGTCCGTCTCGTGGAATGAAGACAGTAATAGAATTATTCTCATTTTTTTTCCATCTCCACATTAATTCACACTTCTGAATTTTGTTTCTTCTTCATGGAGTTTATACTATTTCTTGAGAGGTGTAGTCATATCCCGATGTCCCATCCAAGGGCATACCGTACTCACATTACCATATTTCCACTTTTTCTCCCACCCCATTCATTTCTCTAGTTGTAGCTTCGCTTATTCCGTTATATTCTACTATGTATGTTTCTCCTGTTCGTTTTTCAACGCTCTTTTCCCGGAACTCTTGTTAGTGGTACAAAATTCAATTTGGGATTCTTCTCGGGCGGGAGAGAAGTATGGGATTAGCTAGTGAATATGCAAGCCCAGCCAAGTTCCAGCCTCGGTGTCTGTAAGTGCGAAGTAGCGGTTACCAATGCGAAGATCTTGATGCTCCATTGTAATCTTCAGCTTTGTGCGAAATATCGTTTTTTTCTCTCACCACGTTTGTCTTGGTCACGAGGCGCGCATATGTGACATCAGATGCTATGGCTGAGAAAAAATATTACCAAAATGGGACAGCTTTGAAGGCCAACAAGTAGCCATATTATCGTTATGGACTGAAATGAGTTGGTAAAAAAATGCATAATTTTAGTAACTTTCATGAATCATGATAGAAGTTGAACTTAAGAATATGGAGACAATTATAATTATGGTGTTCCTGTCCTTAAATGTAGCAACAATTATAGCTTATCTGCCACTGCGTTACGTGCTTTAGCTACAGATTTTTTCAATTGACCTAATCCTTCCGGCCGCACTAGGCCCTGGGGTTTACTCAGCCTCTAACAGAAATGAGTACCAGGAATTAATTAAATGATATTCCTGGGGAGTGAAGCGCGGCCGGCGCGTAAGGCTGACAACCTTACCGCCATCTTTGAGCCAATTTTCTAGATAATGTGGGACCCTCAACGTCTCACAACCCTATGCGCCTTCACGGCCTGTTACAGGGATAGCTTTACTTTACTTTTTTTTACTTACTTTTCTGTGGTATAACAAAATTAACCTGTTCATTGTAACTATAATATTTCAGAGCATGAGTGTCTTAAGTGAACATATCAACGTATTCTTGAAGTGTTAAGAGAAAAGGTAAAATCTCTGTGAATAATTCAGTATCACACCATGAAGACGTAGGGGTGAGAAGAGGTGTTGCTCCCTGTATTCTTAACCTCAGCACTAGATGAAAATTTGTTGTCAGTTTCACACTCCGGGCGTTTTAGCTCCATTACCATTTGGATGAGGGGGATAGCTCAGTATGTATAGCGGCTAGGATACCGACTATACAACCGAGGAATCGGAGTTCGATTCCCAGCACGAGCTACAAATTGTTTCTTCTCCTTGTAGTCCAGACTGGTTCCGGGGCCCAACCAGCTTCTGTAAAGCGGCAGGGTCGTGCTGCTGACAACTAGTGCCGAAGTTAAGAATGATGCAGATGCATCTTCAGTCCCCAACACATCTTCATGGTGTGGTGCTTAATTAAGCCGTTGGATAGGAGGCTGCGTGGCCCCAGAATCAATCTGAACGCTGTGGAGACGACAAATAGCTGATGCACCTGCCGGAAGTCCAACCCTAATTCCTTTGCCCCCCAACTGAGAGTTCAGTTACTATACCGACAAGGGTTCACAGTGACAGAGGACGTGGGGCATGCAGAAATGAAGGTGAGAGAGGATTAACTAAATAAATTAGGCCTTAGGAAGAAAATACATTACATCTAGGAGGCATAAAGTTCCTCCGAAACGTTGGTAACAATTTACCAGACAACACGATATCACATTCTATAAGACAACAATCTTCATATTCATCACCGTATGAATCTGAAACCACGTATTCTGGCTCAAACTATGGCGAAACAACGATTCAGAAACACTGACTGCATACACAAATTTGCACAATATCTCTACAATGCAGACACACATAAGAGAATGAAAATAATAGATATTTCTGTACTTACCAACTGCCTAAGCACCTTAGCTGTGAAGAATTCTGTAGAAACGGCCGTTGTAATCTGTGACTTTGTCCATGTCACTCAGAGTTTGGAACTGAATTCTAGTGACTACACACGCCAAGAACGGGAAGACATAATCAAATGGGGTACCTACGATTTTCAAATGGGGTCTCTCGCATTATGTACTCCTCATCGGGCTTTGTGTTCATGCACTACATGTTTAATGTTCAAACGTTAAGAACTCAATCCAGTCATAATGCACGTACTCGTGAATTAATTTTCCGCGAATACATTACACCCTCACCACATCGAAAAAACGTTTAGGCTAACATTGTCAATAGGATAACAAATGCATTTATGACATTCTTGCTCGAAAATGTAACGATAATCACATTTTGGTCCTAATTGTGTTTTGCTAATGCTCAAACTACGAGATTAATGTGGTACAACAACATTCATCAATTAATTATTGTAATTGTTTTTTAATGTGCGTAAGAACGCCATAAATGCATTTCTTACCGTATTCTGAGAATATCCCTAAGCTTCAGGCACAAGTTGCAGTTAGACACTCATAAGCTCGTACTCCATGTTGCCGAACATTTTTGTGGGGTTATCTTAAGCAAAACACTGGCGCAAATTAAAACTAAAAAATGTGTCATATCATAACGTCAAGCGTCCACTTCCACAGTATCGTCTATTTAATATAGGCATCCAATAGTAGGAGCCACTGAAAACCGTTCCTTATCAAGCATTCATTCTATACACTTCACGCAATGAATGCATAATGACTCACAGTGCTTAGCAGATGCGCCACATTGTCGAGAATTGTAGAATTCCCAGCCATTGAAACTGAGACGACACGTAGTTCAGTGTGAGTGAGAGCCAGATCTTGCCATGTTAACAAAAAGAAACAACAAAGAATGGAACTGCTTCACTGCACGCGGATCTCGTACGTATGAACGCGCACTTCTTCAAACTAACCTTTCTTCATTCAGTCGTATCACTAACCAAATGCGCCATCTTACTGCTACCAAACAAACGCGAAGTGAAGCAGCGAGCTTTCCAGCACTATAGTCTTCTCTCTCTGGTGCGTTCATTACGTATGACAAGGCAAGATAAAAACAGGCGTCTCAAACGTAAACAAAACAGGGTGGTTTAAATGTCGATTCTCTGTTTTATAGAAACGGGAAATTTCTATACACTATGTAAAAACATGTCAGAGTGTAAAGTCATTGGAGGAACAGAGACATATTAAACCCCTATTCTTAAGACACAAATGCTGCGTTGTTGGGAGGAAGAAGGAAGTTTCGGAACACGAGAATTATCGAAACATTTTTGTTGTACACTGTAACATTATACGATATACTAAGTCCTTAGAAGGGCGGCGCCATAGCTCAAGCGGTTAGTCGTTGGCTTCCCACGGCGGCGGCCTGGTTTCGATCCCGGGTCTGGTCAAGTTGGACTTGTGGTGGACAAACTGGCGCTGGGGCAGGTTTTCTTCGGGTACTTCGGTTTCCCCTGCCAATCTTAATTCCACCAATTGCTCCACAGTCACCCGCACCTAACATCTGAGGCTGATACAATAGGCCAGAAGTGGCCACAGTACAAGAGACTTAGTCCCACACCACTAGCAATAAAAAAAGTCCTTAGAAAAGCCATTCCTTTTTCAACTTTTGAAACACATGAATTATTTTCATGGAATTTCTTAAATATGTTATGCTATTGAAGGGTACATTAATATTCTGTTTTCAGTTGTATACATTTAGTATAAATAATATAACGGACATACGAAATTCTGAGGTGGGAACAATTACAGCAACGCTTAATGTAGGATGTTAAAAAAATATTTGTCTTTCATTGAGATCATTTTGAGAAAATTGTTACGGAGTGTTCAATTTTTCAACGATGACCAATTAAACACCGAGGTTAGGAATATGACGCTATATAAAAAAAAAATAGTAAACATACCTATGAGCTGACCCTACCCTCTTTACCTTTCCTCCTGCCAAGGGGGAGACGCTGCTTCCGTCCCCTAGTTCTTGCTGTTGCGTTCTTAATACCTCCCCAGATACTAAGGGGTGTCTAAGCAGTATTTGCAATGGCCCCCTAAAACTTCCAAGTAACAAAAGTTTAATATGACAAATACAATAGAATACAGTACAATACATGATAAATACAGACCCAATATCGCGACCTTGAAACAGTCACGTCGCGTAATATTAGTGAACACACCCACTTAGGGGGTCGGAGCTAGAGCACTCCAGTTTAGCTACTACTCCTCTCTAGCAAACAAATAATAGAATACAATATAATACAAGAAAAACACAGACGCAATATTGCGACCTTGAAACAGCCACGTCGCGTAATATTAGTGAACACACCCACTTAGGGGGTCGGAGCTAGAGCACTCCAGTTTAGCTACTACTCCTCTCTAGCAAACAAATAATAGAATACAATATAATACAAGAAAAACACAGACGCAATATTGCGACCTTGAAACAGCCACGTCGCGTAATATTAGTGAACACACCCACTTAGGGGGTCGGAGCTAGAGCACTCCAGTTTAGCTACTACTCCTCTCTAGCAAACAAATAATAGAATACAATATAATACAAGAAAAACACAGACGCAATATTGCGACCTTGAAACAGCCACGTCGCGTAATATTAGTGAACACACCCACTTAGGGGGTCGGAGCTAGAGCACTCCAGTTTAGCTACTACTCCTCTCTAGCAAACAAATAATAGAATACAATATAATACAAGAAAAACACAGACGCAATATTGCGACCTTGAAACAGCCACGTCGCGTAATATTAGTGAACACACCCACTTAGGGGGTCGGAGCTAGAGCATTCCAGTTTAGCTACTACTCCTCTCTAGCAAACAAATAATAGAATACAATATAATACAAGAAAAATACAGACACAATATTGCGACCTTGCAAAAATGTAAATATAGCCCCCAGAAAACGCCAATACGGCTACTCCTCGTCCCGAACCTTCACGGGAAACACTCCAAAACCGAATTTTGATTGGCCACGCCCAAAATGAATTTTCTTGTTACCTGCCTTCCCCGACTTCTCGTCCTAGAGTGTTCCTCTCTCTCTACCCTACTTGTCTCCTAAAGCCCAGNGATCCCGGAATTTGTCTGGTGGGACACAGAGAAACCCGTAAGAACCTTGTCAGGAAAGACGATTACCCTGCAGCGATTTGAACTGAGATCTCCCGAATACGAGGCGGAAATGCTAACCAATTTGGCTACTACGTTCGTTTAGATGGAAAATTTACTGTAGTCAGAATCCGTACTGAAGCAGTAAGCTCCCCGTCCCCACCTAAGAGAGTAGTTCTCTATATAGGATGTCTCCAAAAAAGAAGGGTAGGAACTTTGAAGAGCAAGTGTTATCAGCCCGCAGCCAAAAAGGGAACATGCATCACGAGACACGATACACACGGCATATAAGAGGAGCGACTCCCATAGTGAAGGAACCATGCGCGGGTTTTGATTTGGGACAGATAAGATGAATATCTTAACAAGATTTCAGTATACAAAAAAAAAATTATTATAACTGACGAATATTTTAAAATACTTTTTAAACAATTTTAAATTGACATAATGACATGCAATGCAATAGATTAGTGTAAATGGAGCACCTGATGATGGCACTATGGTGCCGAAACATGTTGTCAAGTGACAAGTAAAAGTGATGCACTGAAAGACGGACACTGTATATATATCATGAACGAAAATCAGTGCAACAGGACGCTAAAATACAACATTAAATTTTATTGGTAGATTACAAATTTGTACTGATATAACATTTAAAATCACATGATACACATGACTGGAACCCTGTATATTATTAACGTGTAGTAGAATAGACTACCTTTGTAAAAGGACAAGACAAAATTAAATTAGTAATCTGTTTGAAGAGTCTTATCTTCTGGGATATTACGCCGCGTAGTCCGTTGAAAGTCAACAGAAATTTCAGAGGAACATAGCGCATCAATCTTCAGGGTCGAATAAACCGAACAGGATACTGCGTAAAAGCAGGCTGACTTTCAGCGGAGTACATGGCACTGTTTCCCAGAAGACACTATTCTTCGTCTAAGATTTTCTCGGCGGTGGTTATGAAGAACTGCGTCTTCTTGGATGTCCCAGAAGACGTACTCTTCATAACCACCGCTGGGAGAACCTCAAATCCGAATAATAATCTATTTGTATACCTTACCTGTGTTTAGCCGGCCACTTCTGCGTGTTTATCGAAAATTCTTGGAATTTTGAAAGGGGTGTTGGACTCTCTTTGTCAGGTGATGTATCTTCTTTCTCTCAAAGCACTTTGGATTTATGGCGGTACATCCATATTCATCATTCTTGCATAAAACATGCGGCAGTTTCGATTCTGTGCATATCGCATTAAAATTTAGCAGCTAATGGTTTAATAGCAGAAGAAATAATTCTATTGTCATTTTTTTAAAATCCGGCGGTAAAGTAGCCGCTTGTGTAAATTCCTATTTTTCTCTGTATTCTGTTTGCAGTTAATTGTTTCCTTATATTTTCTCTCTTTAACTAAACTTGCAGGTTTTGGCCCTCCTTAGGAACTTCAGTTCAAGGCCAATTCCTTTTTTATGTCTAAGTTCTAACGTTTTAATTTTATTTCTATTCAAGTTCAGAATTTGAGTTCCTATACACAGGGCACTCAGAGTATTATGTATGCACACATACACAAATTCCACGTTTTACGAAATATAGGCAGACTTCCCTTGATAGGGTAGTGCACTTCAGGTTGTTACGTACTCATATTTACGTCATGTAGGTTAACATTTTCTTTTCCTCAATTAGCCTAAATTCAGCATGGAAAAAATTAAATGTAATTTTTTTATTGCTAGTGGGGTGGGACTAAGTCCCTTGTACTGCGGCCACTTCTGCCCTATTGTACCAACCCCACATGATAGGTGAGGGTGATTGTGGAGCAATTGGTGGAATGAAGATTGGCAGGGGAAACCGAGGTACTCGGAGAAAACCTGCCCCAGCGCCACTTTGTCCACCACAAATCCCACTTGATCAGTTCCAGGATCGAACCCGGGCCGCCGCTGTTGGAAGCCAGCGACTAACCGCTTGAGCTATAGAAGTATACCATTAGTTTAAAGGCAATTACTAGACAGGGTAACCCCATATTATATGAGATATAGGTCTATCAACAGTGGAAATAAATACATTGTATATACTAACCCTTCCGGCTGCACTATGACCCTGGGGTCGACTCAGCCTCTAACAGAAATTAGTACCAGGAATTAATTAAATAATTTTCCTGGGGAGTAAAGGGCGGCCGGCGCGTAAGGCTGACAAACTTACCGCCATCTGTGAGCCGACTGTCTAGATAATGTGGGACCCTCAACGTCTCACAACCCTATGGGTCTCCACGGTCTGTTACAGGGATAGCTTTACTTTACTTTATTAATATATTGTAAATAACAATAATAAATGGGAACAAAATATAGGTTATTATAGGGGGATGAGAAAACGGGAAACGAAACCGCGCCTTTCGGCGTTGAGGGTAGTTTATTCACTTACTTATAGAAATTCGTGGCTCAGCTTCAGGTTAGCATTTTCCAGCGTTCCTCCGTCCAATGAGTCATATCGAATATTCATAAATAAGACCGCTTAGATAGCACTGGTCTGTCGGGCCACATAAGAAGACGATACCGGAAAAGGAACTTCAGTTTTTAACGTTTTGATGCCAAAACTGATAATATAGTGTCTGTGTATGGTGAAACTTCGTACGTGTATCCGAGTACATAGATGTGGATGGACTATGCCTATGTACAGAATGGCACAAAAGCAGTACAACAGTTTTAAGTCAGATGGAAAATGCCGTGAGAAGTACATTTTTTTTATAGATTTGGGAGACCTTCAGAGCACGAATAATAGATTTTGGGGCGTGCATGCGAGAGAGTATTGGTAGCAGATGCAAACAATGTATTTACTATTATGGTCGTCAATTTCAACAGCTTGCATGATAAACTGTACTTGTGTTTTTGGGCTATCCTGTATGTCTTTGTCGTAAAAGGGTGGAATATATGTAAAATATCCCACAAAATAATCCAAGCGAGTATGCGGAAACAAAAAACATTTTTTTAAGATTTAGAAGGAGCGTTTTGTCTCATCTTATGCCTAAGAGGATGTGTTGGAAAGGTGTAATGAAAGAACGACTCAAATTCCTTGAACAATGTCCATATTATAATTCCCACATACACACGGCACGTCGTGAACCTTGTAATATTAATATATGTACATGGTACAGCGTCAGACACTTACACCCTTTTATTAGTAGTAGTAATAATTATGTTTAAATCCAGGGCACACCAATGCGGCGTTCCCCATGAATATACACAAAACTCCGCTCAGTGGTCACAGTATGTGTGTGTGTGTCCATTAAATAATAGTCCTGTCACACAAAACAGAATCTGTACATCCATCTCAACACCACCACCACCATCATCATTATCATCATCATCATCATCATAATCAGCAGTTATGAATCATCATTACACAATAGTCATTCTTTTGTTCGAGAAGCATCGCCCATAATAAGAGCATGGTTTATTGCTTTCTTATTGCAAGAAGCCATTTCATCTTGGCTGTAAAATGGGCAAAATAAGGAACGACCAGGCCACACATAAAATATTACTGATCTCACAGCGATCAGGTTTCTTACTATTAAAAAAAAAAGCTTACAACTATAATATTCTGCAAGTAATTTCATAACACTTATGCAACATTCACAAGTGAGACTGGGTTGGAGATCTTGGAGGACACAGTTAGTGGCTAGGTGAATATAAATACTAGCTTCCTCTGCAACAAAACTGAGAAAGAATGAATCACATTATTAGTTTCCGCAAGGAATCAAAAAATGGAAGCAAAACAAATTAAAATTGCTCGACACTACATCACGTATTGGTTAACTGAAAACATCACTGACGCCATCTTCTCTTAACTTGTGTCTAAACACCAACGGGAGACACGAACCTAGCTACTCGAGGCGGGGCCACACCATAACAAGTGAAATCGACAAAAAACTAGGGTTACTTTTAAATATACACACCCCAATTAATAAATAATGTTTAAAATAAATTTGAACAGTTTATACTTTTAGTTTAAACTTTTATTAAGGCCCACGATCATGTTTGAATTAACTGAAAATAGTTTCTCAGTGTAAATGCATATTGTCAAGACAATAACACGTATAGAACTCCAGTAAAGGTATGAGATAGGGAAGCTGAGCTGTTGAAACTCATCGTCGCTTCTACGTTGTATACTAAAACCTCTTCGCACTACGAATTCCCTAGTATATTGGTGTTCATCTTCGCATCATCACTTCCTCATAAGTTTGAATTATGCCTAGTTCTTTTCTTTAGTAACAGACTGGACGGGTTTCAGGGCCAAACGTTTATCCCCCTACAGACAGTTACCACCGGAAAACTGTTCTAACTTCTGAAATGAAACGTACCCTTCTATACACATTTCTTGTGCTTCGACATAAATGTATTACATCTAGAGAACATTCTCCACACAGTTTCAATACAGTATGAATGAACAAAATATTCTGGCAGTAAAAATGAAGTACTATTAAAAAAATCTGCATATTTCATTCCTACTTGATACAAATAAATTACTACACAAATTATTCACTGACATATTATACATCGACTTTCCACATTATGAAATTTCAGACTCTCTACCGTCTAGTGTATTACCAAAGAGCACAAAATGTCGGCACTTGCAGGTTCCTTTCTACTGACCGTTTCAGTATGTCCTAAATTACGGTTTTCGAAGACACACAACTACGACTATTCTATCGTGTGTCACTGGCTGCCCCTACACTCCGCAGCGATAACACAATCCCACTATTTTGATTTGACTTCCGCAAGAACTCGAAGGAAAAAGGACAAACAGGGCTTTAGCCATAAAGCCGAGGTTCCTAACAGCAGCAAACTTGGACCGGCAGTATACAGGTGATTCATCTAGTTTGTCTACAGCGGAAGTAACGACGTAGCTTATTTATTATTTTAAAGAGAATGAATCTGAAAAAGCAATGTAAAAACCTCACTCTAAACTACAGGAAGTTCTTTCTTCTTCGCAGGGCAGAGTTCCGTGGAAAGGGCTGCACCGTTGCCGCATAGCGACAGAAGATATTGGCAGCCTCACAGGGCTCGGTTTCTCAATAAATATATGATAACAGAATATTATGGAAAATATTTTGGCTTATTCTATATGTCTGCAACAAATTTAATTTCCTTACGATTTATTTCCATCACTCAGTTCCGTTCTTTCTGTGGTCGACAAAACAAAACCTAGTCAACTCAGCTTTAGTTTATAGTAACACGAAAATAACAGAACTAGGCATGTGATTCTGGTGGCCCAGGGTTAGCTGCCAACTAATAGCACCACTGGTATATTCGACGTATTTCCAAATTCATTACAAATACAACAAAGTATATATTTGAGATAGAAATAATGCTAACAGTGATATCTGCAATTAAGTATTTGAAAGTAAGCGATTTAAATATCTATTACCGGATAAACTTCCTTATCAATATGTGCCATCTGCTCTCCCTTCTTCCGGGAATTCGTTATATATACATTGCTGCTTCGTGTGGAACTGTGAATAGTTTTCAGTAACAACTGCACGAACGGAAACATACTACAATGTGACGTGGGGGGGGGGGAGGTTTGGTGACTTGGCGCTACTCTTATTCCAGTATAGGCCGAAATGTTACATTACGGAGTGATGGATGCGCTTTCAAAGTGAAGAGGTGAATTCTGATATGTTTTAAGATCTCATTTTTAAACTTTTTTATCTACTTTTAAAAAGAACTACACATTATGATGCGGTTCTATATACGTACAGGGCATATCAGTGTTACCAACTAAACCAAACTGCTTGCAGCGGACACTCGCAACTATATAGACAACTTTGTTACTTTTTATAAACACGTTTTGTGAGCAGTGTGAAAGGACCCAGAAAGTCCTCGTTTTTTTGTTTCAGAGATATAGGTAAGACATTATTATTATTACTGCCTGCAATCTTCTAAATAATGGGAATGGATATTTTATTATAATAATACTAATAATAATATTATTACTGTTATATTTAAAATTATGCTGGTATCACCGTGTATGTTGTCACCGGGAACACATTCATAAACGTAAATACAACGAAACAAACAAGTTTCATAATATAATTTTGCATTTTTTGTTCAAATGAAATACTAATTTAATAACATAAACAGTTTTTCTAATACAATTTTGCATTTTCTTGATCAAATCAAATACTAATTTAATAACACATACCAAAAAAAGAAACAACTGTATCCAAGGAGCTGTTATTGATCTCCTGGAAATCAGTTTGTTGCTAATAAAAGGAAAGAAGTTATCTGAACACATGTGATGACACTGTAAAGCTATTCTTTTGTTGTCTGAATTCAAATCACAGAATATATGAGAAAAATAGGTGACGAGGAGGGGGGGGGGAATGCTGATTGATTATTCCTCCGTCTTGGAAATTGCGATGGAAAAGTGAAGTGGCAATGAAGAAGGATGGTGGGCAGCGTAATTGCTATAATTATATATGACAATAACAACATGTCTGTATCTATGTATATATCACAACGGCAGATGTTCGTTCTTGTTCAACACCCTAGCCTTAACAAGGGACAACAGAAACAATGGATATCGGCCAGCACCTGTCGTGGGGATAAAACACAGAACTAGAGACGGAATTCACACACATAGTGAACACTGTAGGTCATTTTAATTTATCGGTTGTGATCACAACAAAGCACTTCAGAAGAATTTTACTTTCATGACACAAATATAAATTCCGTCCCAAATTCGGCGTTATTTCACAATATAAACTGTAACACGCTTCAAAACTGACTTTAGTGTTACCTTGAAACGTGAGACATAAAGTGGTTGCGTGTTAAATATCAGAATTTTACCGTGGATAAAACTTTTGTTAGTTTTGGTATTAAAACAGGTTTACATTATGCATCCTAATACTACAAAAGGTAAGTTTTAAAAAGATTTTTAAAGTAATAAATGAATGCAAAATTCTTTAATCTTCAAGATTTATCTGATTCACTGACTGAATAGATCACTCCTGATACATCTCCTTCGACCCATTGTTAGGAAGTAAGTATGAGTCTGAAGGTCTGTGACAATTTTGTGTTCTTAAACTGACATATATTCTTGGAAACTGTACATCGTTTCGTTCTGGCTGCAGAAACACAACGTTTCGGAAACTGGTTCTGTCTCGATCCGGATATGGATTGTAGCTCCATAAAACAAATCAAACTGAGTGGACTTCTATTTTCATCTGATGAAGGGCATACAAACCATTTTTCAAAACGTCAAGTTTCTATAACAAAACAGAGCTGATGGATAATATCCAACGTACGTGTCAGTTTATTTAGAGATTATCGTATTAAGCGATATCCACGGTAAGTCGAACTCGAGATCCTCACGGCAGGTGATACCTCAAGCGAAATGACTGCAGCACATGTCCACAGCGAAATTACAGGCCGTTTGAGGTCATCACTCGGCCTCCGTAGAGGCTGTCACCTTCCAAAGCAATCAAAAAATAAAAATACAAGTTGTTATGTATACAGTAATGTTTAAACTAACGTAAGAATGCATAGATATGACAATATTAATGAGCTTCAGAAACAAATATTTTATAATAATAATAATAATAATGAACATCATTTGTTTGCATTATGAGGCATATAAAATACATAAAATATTAATGATGACATGATCATCCCTTATGTCATACGACACAACAATAAGAGGAACAAAAATTACTGATAATAAATTACTAGAAATGTAATCTAACGGACGTCGTTTATCATCTTTATGCGCTCTGTTCTAAACTTTGGTCATTCTACTGAAAATCCTGCAACAACTGTGTGAGGTGCTGGAGTGAGAGTCATTCAGGATGATACACTAACACCAACTCCTTGTCTGTAACCATTGTCAATATATTCCAATCATTTCTTATGATTACTTTAAAATTATTCCTTTTTATCTGCGACTTGTCCATTCATTCGCTACGTGTCATTTTAACGGCTTCTATCGTAAGAAGCCTCTTCAACATAAACACATATAACTAGTATTTTTGTTTAGCTATAATGTATGACAAATGCACACACAAAAAACACAAGCATACATTATTTTCACTTATTTGTTATGTTTCGGTTTCTGGTTATTATTACATTGTTATTATTATTTTCCATAACAAAGAGGTAACGGTTCCTAGCCACTGTTGTACAATTAATAACATACATTTTACATATTACCATATTGTGAACAGTACACCAACCACAATAACACGTGTTAGTTAAACTGGATATATAACACATACTGCATGCCTACCAAGGAAGACATGCCCAGAACGGACAAATGTGTGTTTTTGTGTGTTGTGTGTGTGTGTGTGTCACTTTGTGTGTGAACTGTGTTTTAAAATATTTCTCCGAATGCTGATCGCTTTATTCTCACCATTTTGAAGAACAAAAGCATTCTCTTGCGAACTTCAACCTCTGTCCAGAAAACAAATAATTTAAAACTTCATCTGAAGGCAACAAAACATGCCACGGAATAACCTCACTCGATCACGGTTCAATAGAATCTTTGCCAAGCGTTCGAATATTAATATACCTCCCACCGCGTCCGTTCTCATGGGCCCTGATGATAATTCTTAGCACACGCCTTTGATTCTTGTGTATGTGTTAGAAGAACTTATTAACTACCGCCTAATTCGTCTTTACAGTGTCAGAATTTGAATATCGATGCAGTTTATATAGATTAAATAACCCGTTCATCAGCTTGATTATTCAATTACAGATACTCTTCGCTCTGTTACCTCTGAATGAGGCTGTACTACTAATACTCCGTGGTTATCGTCCGCGAGCGAACTATACCGACCGAGCGAACGCCGCTTGTCGGCGAAGTTAGTGCCAATTTTAGCTGATAGAGGGCGTCGCGTGATCAGCGCAACGAATCCCCACGGCCGTTAATTTCGTTTTCTAGAACGGACTGAAAGAGACCGTACAGATATATATATGTCTGACAGTTAGCTGCCTTGTCCGATTCTGAAATGTAAGTCTATGCACAACTGTCACCTTATGCAGGAACGGATTATTTCTTATTAACTCAAACATAAAGTTCGAATTGTAAATAAAAATCTATAATATTCAGGATAGATAGTCATGATTGAACGGCGAAAATATAAGAATCGTAAGAAAGAATTATCAATGTGTGTCTTTTTTGGACGAATAATAAATTATGTAACTTTCCTTTCTTGCCAAATGCCAATGCCAGTTATTTCGATATTACGAGTACTCACGCAAAGATTCTAAGTGAAAACAAAGCATGGTTACGTCACCCGAAATGTGCTCTCCGTGGCACGCAAACTCAAGCTGACGGTACAGTACTGTCATATGGCTATAATCTGGACGTCTTCTTCTATGGCAGAGCTAAGGATGAAGATTACATAACAACGTTTTGTATGACCACCAATTACGTCAAGCGTCTACTACCCGCACACGGCATCTTACAACAGATATTACTTTATATAACATTTAGTGACGTGCAAGAGAGTCGAGTGGCTACAGTTCAGCCCAAAGTTTAGACTACCGAAATACTGGCAATCTCTCCAGACACCGGGCTTCAACTGCAAACCCAGGCAGTCGGCTGAAACTGACGCATGTCTACAACAACAGTAACGACATTTAGTGGGAGAGGCAAAGCAAAAGCGTCACTTTCGTGGAGTCCGAGGGGGACACTACTTTGAACAAGTTTAACATTATTGCTTTTCTCAATATCAGTCGGTACGTGGAACAGCACACACACATACACACAATGCATCATGCATAATTTTTCAATCATTCTTCTATGATATTATGCCAATAATGTAGTAAGTTTATTATATAGTTATATAAAATCTATCAGAACTATGCAGACCACGTTCAGATAAATAAGCGATCAGCATTCGGATCTTAAAAACCGTTTTTTTCTACATTATTAATATAATAACACATCATCAATACCAACCTCAATAGTAATCTTAATCTCTTTTCAAAGAAATATCCCTTTAATACAGGATTCACTTGCATATTCATTTCTTAACAATTTTACGGTATCAAAATACAGGATTTTAAGTAAAAGTTACAGTATTAGTTAGTGTATTGCTCTGAATTTTCCTAACGATAAAAATATTTCTACCGCAATGAAAGAGGAATAGAAACAAGGGAACGGTTTGTTCTTACTTAAATTGCATTGAGACAAAGAAACTCTTGACATAAATTTTCAAGAATTGATAAAAGCATGGATATTCTCATCTTAGATTTATTAAGTTCATTTATTTTTTTACCTAATAATAAAAACGACGCTGAAGTAAAACCGCAGGCCTAAGAGTATATGTTTAATCAACAGTAATTATTTATTTTCGAGGAAAACGCTATATTTATATCCATTCCCTGATTTGCCGTATTTAATTTATGAACTCTGCTTCATTTTTGTTCTATTGCTCCTTTGAAACTATTTTATTTAAGAATAATTTATTTATTTCATATAATACTCATCAAAATGTAGAGATTTCTATTCTTATAAGGTTGGACCAAACGTTAAACCATACAAGAAATCATCTACTTACAGTACACTGTTGAACGCATTAGTGAGAAAGACAGTCAAAATCAACAGAAACAACACGAGACCACGCCATATCTCACTTATTGAAATGGCTATAATAATAATAATAATTATTATTAATAATAGTAATAATAATATATTAACTAATGCAGTCACTGATTATCGTAGGACACTTCATTTTATCAATGTATATATAATTTTCTTTTTTTATATATAATATAGATATATTCCATTTTTATTTTAGCTACCGACACGATTTCTGCTACTTCTCCTCCGCGATAAATCTGCTCAAATTTGTATTTTCCTAAAACGTCGAGAACTACTGAGTAAAACAAAAACACGTGTAACCATAGGCCACACGCCTTTCAATAATATAATATTATACCGTTTTTGTACTGAGGCTTTTTTTTCCGCTTGTATTCAACGAACCTAATCAACATTATAGTATGACCTTGATCGGGAACAGCGTATGTCATAAAGGGTCTTCTTTTGTTCATCGCAAGACGTAGCGCCGTAGAGTGGGCGATATCGTCGGTCGCTATGCGGCAACAACGCCGTCCGCTCCACGGAGATCATCCTCGCGATAAAAAGAAGACCCGGTATAAAATTATCAACACAGCAGGGATAAAGTTAAATAAAAATTAACGCACGGAGCGAATATTAATCTACGGTTCGTCACATTTTGTGTCTTCAACAATGTTTACGGAAGTATGTCACTTGGACGTGGAGTGGGAAGGCAGACAACTAAAGCCATTACACATAAATTATACCTGTTCTAGAACACTTCGTTTTCTCTCCATGAAACCTAAAACATTCGTACGAAAGTACAATATACTTCTCGAGGGATACTTACATTAATCAAAACGTAATAGTCCTTACCTCTCAAAGATTGCCATTCTAGAACTCATAACATGAAGCACACAAGAAAACCCAAATTGCTAAGTTCCAATTTCTGATCACATGCAACAAAATTAATTCATGTTGGAAACAAAATTGAAACACGAGATTCATCTACAAAATACTCAGTGGAATCGGCTTCCCCTTCCTTCTTCCTTAGCAGCAGTTATATTTAATAATATAATTATTGTAGTGTGAAGTGCAGCCTGCACAAAGTTCAAACCTTGCACCGTTCATTGGAGTTTCAGAGTCGCACGTCAAAGTCAGCAGAAGAGAAAGAGAGAGAGAGTAGCAGTCATTTACCTCTTCTTCATCGTCTGCTGGAAACATGCCTACCCATGTATGTTTCATATCTCTAATGCTAAACAATTATTATAGCTATGCTGTCTAATCCAATAGTACATCTAAAAGGTAATTTTTTCATGAAGCTACATTCTTACTATATCTACTTCTAGACAGATTATTATTCTATGCCTTTTTTTTCTTTGTTTTTCGTTTTATGGAACCTGTACATATAGCAAATTTTGTTTCTTGTTTTGTGGCGCAATTTATTTTCCGCCAGCTGCCTACGCTGCGACTTGCATTTGAATGGTAGCCTATATTAATACATTCAATAATTATATACAAATGCATAAAAGAATTAAAATATAGATGTGTATATATAAATGTAAAATATATATATAATATTGTTTAGCGTGATTGCAGAAGGGTGACCCAAAAAATCCTTCTTTGAAAGCTTACAACCCACTGTCATCTATACGAAGGGCGAACGTTTTCATCTTCTAGATGAATGGAAAATAGCGTTTTAAGTTAAAGGAAACAAGCAATAGGCCCATATGATTATAGCAGTGCCAAAGCCAGTAATGCAATCACATTACGTAGACTAATGTTTATCTCATGAGTCTTAAGTTATCAGGGGCTGATCACAAAGACGCACCACACTTTCCGTTACCATATTTGGTCCATAATATACATAAAGTTTCATATATATACCGAAGGATTCGTGCTCTTTTGTCTTTTCATCTTCTCAGATATATACCCTGTAACCTATTCCGGAGAAAAATTTAACATCGAGGAAAGATGGAAATAGCCCAAAGTGTTTCCTACAGTATTCTGAAACGTTTCTGGTAACAGTTTAATCTACGAAATTTTGTTTTTCATTGTGTGGGACGTATTAAATTATAACAACTTTTTTTCTCTCTCGCCAAAGCAAAACAGAACCGTACGACACGAAGCAAAACAAGTGAAACTCAAACAGCGGCACATCTAAGCGGAGGTATTAGTGGAGGAACATTTAGACGCGACGCATGACCAACAGAAGTGGACACCGTTGCAGTCGCCCAGCAAACATCGAGTAATTTTACGAACAAAAATTTGTGTAAGCATATTTTTTTTTCTCCTCTCAATGAGATTTTTCATTGAAATGTACCATACTGAGTAATGATTAATATTAATATGTATATATGTCTATATTATACATAACGTCCATTAGTATATGGGTAGTGGTACAAGACATTTGTTCATTCAATTCACATAAAGCTATTCCGCCGGAAAATATAGTTTCATAGAGAAGCTGAAACAAGTTATTTCTTCTTTCAGTGGATATATAAACCTTCGTATTCTTTCTGGTCTTCTTTTTCATTTTTTAATTCATCTTGTATTGCCTCTCCCATATATAATTCTTCATTTCATTATCTGCAATTATTCTCCTTTTGAAGCTGAAGAAATCTTCATCACCTTGACAATTGAAGCATAACTCGGGGTGGAATAATGCAGAAGGTGTCGGATTCGGTGGTAAAGTAGAGATTATCAGGAGAGTATGACAGCAGAGACGTTACTTGAAGGAATTAACGATGTTTCCATTGATGTCACACTTGTATATACCAAAGGAGGTGAAGAGGGGGTCGAGTATCTGTTCTTAAAAAATATAACACCAGATAATTTAAAAACCGAGACAAACGGGCGCATTTAAAGTTCACAACAGACGTCCGGCGGAAATAAAGTTTTTTCTTTTGCTTTGCAGGCCTCCCCCTCCAATATGAGGATAGGACGTGTCACATTCATAATAATCATCATAATAATAATAATAATAGTAATATTTATATTTATATATATAGTTCAGTATATAAAAAGTCATTTTTACTTAACGACTTCTTTCGAATTTCATATTTGCACTGTTGACCAAATCAGCTAACAGGGGGCAGCAGTGACCAGGAGAGGAAAACAGATGAGTCGCGTTGCCTCTTATCCACAGAACAACCTGAGTTTCCCACAATAATCCAAACCTGCGAACAAAACATTCACTTGCAACTGACATATCTGATGATTAAAATGCGAAGTGGCCAAAATCTAGACGACTGATGAACAAACATAAAAATGGCTCATTTCAACTGAAGACTGAAAACAACTGAAAGAGAGAATCATAATCAAATTAGCTGTTAACTACTGCTGTTTATGCGGGGTATATAGTTCTCGCGGCAATGCATATCAACATTACGGTCTTCTGGGGTGTGTCAAACATGTAGTTTGGTAGACAGGTACCAAAATTTCAGAGGAACCTACTGTCTCCATCTTCATCTACCCAAAAAATGGAGACAGTAGGTTGTTCCTAAGCCTTGGCACTACAAAACTACTCGCCGACACATCCCGGAATACAGCCCAGCAGTGACAGACAACGCATTCTGTTGGCTCAGTTTAAACTTATGCTAGTAGCTGTGGAATGTAAAGAAGAGTCGATGCAGTGCGGAAGTACATGTCTTGCTGTCACAGAAATACATGCATAACGCGGAATTAACCCAATCGTGATGGCTACCTAGGACTATCGCACACCTCTGTCATCGTTACTAATGGCCAAGTAATGCTGAAGGAGGCCGCGCCATAGCTCAAGCGGTTAGTCGCTGGCTTCCCACCGCGGCGGCCCGGCTTCGATCCCGGGTCTGGTCAAGTGGGATTTGTGTTGGAGAAAGTGGCGCTGGAGCAGGTTTTCTCCGAGTACTTCGGTTTCCCCTGCCAATCTTGATTCAACAAGTTGCTCCACAATCACGCTCACCTATCATCTGGGGCTGGTACAATAGACCAGAAGTGGCCGCAGTACAAGGGACTTAGTCCCACCCCACTAGCAATCGTCTTGTGGAGCTTATGAAATACTAGAAAGTTCTTCCACTCCATACTAGTTGTCTGTGTTAAGTCTTGCACATTACCTCTGTGTTCAGGTTCGTGCTATTCAGAGTGGGAGGTACTGTGTGTGTGTGTGTGTTCCGGGAACAACGAGCCTTGTAATAATTATAAAAAAGGGAAACGAACCCATGGAAGTGGCCCTGGCTTACCNTACTAGAAAGTTCTTCCACTCCATACTAGTTGTCTATGTTAAGTCTTGCACATTACCTCTGTATACAGGTTCGTGCTATTCAGCGTGGGAGGTACTGTGTGTGTGTTCCGGGAACAACGAGCCTTGTAATAATTATAAAAAAGGGAAACGAACCCATGGAAGTGGCCCTGGCTTACCTGTATATTAGCTGATGTATGAGCCTCAATGGTAGCCGTTAGTGAAAGCAGCCGGAATGAGGGGTCCCTGAGGAAGGAAACAAATCACAATCCACATCAGTAATCTGAATTGTCCTAAATATCAAACACAACCCCTTTACCGGCATACATATATATTTTTATTTATGTTCTGGCATTCTTTGCGTGCTTCAGTTGGGCACGGCTCTTCTGTGTCCTCGGTTCTGTAGGCAGAATCATTTTTGGGGTTTACAATTCCGTGGTATGTATGAAAGCCTACACACTGTGTCAGATTTCAATTTTGAAATTCTGAAAATATTGCTGAAACAACACGAAAGGAGCGGAGCGGGGGGGTACAAGTTTCATGCACAACAATGAGAAGTACTGTGGCACTTCCTCCTAAAAGCTTTCAGGAAGCCACAGAATATCTCAGAAGATCGAACTGACTTTGTGGACCTAATTGGGATTTTTATGCTGAAATGGTTTCGTAACGGGGACATCAAGAGGACTCGAAATTCGCTGTGACGCTTTAAGACGTGCAGGAATAGCTCAGTCGATAATGTGACTGCTTACGTGGCAGAAAAATAGGACCGGGTGGACGTAAGGACTTCTCTATTCACCACGTTCAGCACGTACGAACAGCACACCCTCCTGTCCAACAGGCAAAGGTATTGTCTCTATTCTTAAGTACCACGCCGCGAGGAGGTATAGGGGAGAGGAGATATGGTTTCAAGGATTCTTAACCTGAAGAGTAGGAAGGGGTGGTCAGCTTCACACTCCTCCCACTTTACCCCCGGGGAAACAGCCGCAGGTGCCTACTGGAAAGGAGGTTTGGCGGGCCTGGACAGGGTCAAAGAAATAGAAATCATATCTCACATGAAGTCACTCGGGAACGAACCCGAGGTAGTGCAGCGAGAAACAAGAATGAAAACTTCAGAGTATGGCAGGGTGCCACTGAAATAAGTGATTAATATTTCGTAATTTTGAATAATCTCCCATTACACAGTGTAATATTGCGGCCTCTACGAGGAATAAGATTCTGAAGATACTGTCACGTCTAAGGGGTTAGCGTCACTAATGATAACGGGTTCTGGATTTCATGATTGGGTTTAGTGGCACTTCTTTACAAGTACAGTAAATTATAACGGCTCACACATTGAACTAATTCCGAACGACGTCTGTCTGAAGACTGCAGTCTGAAGAATATCTCACTGCTCTTTAATTCACGAGTGAACTCTTTATAACTGCCAGAAGGCCGGAATATAAGTCACTATGTCTTTGTTTAGCGTCCTGCTACTTGTTCATTGCTATTTATTCAGCGGGGACGTGGTTACCGAGCCGTTGCTCGGCAATGGACGTGTGCTCCGGCTCCACCATTCCGGTTTTCTGCCGTCATGTCACTATACGGTACCAAATAATTTTAGTTTAGTTGGGGGTGGAGTCCAACTGGGTCCACTCGGCAGGGCGGCCACTGATTGGCCTATTATAGCCTGCCCCGAGTTATTATGATGATGGACAATTTGGTGGAATTAAGATTGGCAGGGTAAACCGAAGTAATCGGAAAAAAACCTGCCCCAGCGCCACGTTGTCCACCACAAATTCCACTTGACCAGACCCGGGATCGAACCAGGGCCGCCGCGGCCTATACGGTACCATGAATGTGGGCAATGAACCTGGTTATCCGCCAGATACTTAATCATATCGTACCTGGAACAGAAGATGTATAGCCACGAGTGATCTGTTTCAAGATATTATTCAGACATTAGACTTGAAATAGTTACGAAAAACATAAAAATTCTCCGAGATCTGAGGCTCTCATGAAGGCTCATATGAAGACGTGGTTCTCTGGAATGTGACGTAGTGTTGCGTGACTTTATTTTTCCTATGGCGGGATGAGGAGATAGAGTCCCTTGCTATTTAGGCCGCAAGCTGATCCAGATGTAGCCTTACAGAAGCCTACCGACGTACTGGAGGAACCTGCTGTCGTGAAGACAGGAACAGCATATGCCTCCGAAACGTCGGTACCTTCCTATCAGACTATGTGACGTCATATCCTAAAGTACAGTACTTTTCAAATAAAAAATTTCACTTAGAATGGCTAGTTACCGGTCCAGATTCGAAAAAAGTACCCCAGAATATAAGTACGGAAGAAAGCAAGAAAATATTGAAAATATTGTTAACGTATTTTTGGTTTAATAAGTAGTTATGTCGCAAATGAAATAGTGGCTCGTACTACTACCATTATAGCATCTAACTTGCTACGAACGCAACGTTGGATTGTAGGCTACATGGATATTTACCTATTTAAGCTACATTTACCATTTCACATTTCGAGTCAGAGCGAAGAACAACAAATTATTCTGGTCATTATGTTCTGTTGACAGGATGTAAAGTTGTCCCTGTGCTTAACTAATTAAGCACTACGCCATGAAGGCGTTAGGCGGAGTGGATGTATAGATACACGTAATCATGACTTCGGTACTAGTTGGAGGTGAGTGGTCAGCTTCACGCCCCGGCTACTTTGCCCCCAGGGAAAGATCCCAGGTACCCATTGGATATGAGGCTGGGTGAACCCCAGAACAGGTCTGAATGACGTGAAGAAGAGTAAAAATTCGCCCTTACCGGGACTCGAACTCTGACCCCTCGACCGTCCAGCCCGTATCCAGTCGCTATGGCGATTGAACTATTCTATTAAAGGGTTCTATGACTTATAATTTATCGTGCAGGACATCAGCTCACCAAGGGAACATGCTTTTGGGCGCACTGTTCACCTACAGATGTCTTCATTCTGTAAAGTTTTATTCGAGACCGAAATACAAATCACGCGTCACTAAACCTATGAAAGGGTACGTCCTATTCTAGTCACACGACTCATGAAAGTTCTATTGGCAAGCGAAAATATCTTGTGGAGAGCTTAAGAGTCATGGAACAGAACAATGGGCACCCAACTTATTTGGCATCCTATAATTGCGATTGATCTCTGGGCACCGAGCACTGGAAGTTGGTGGAAACCAGCACCCAGTGTAGTAATATAATTGCACTACTTGTTTCATCTGATTTACGGTTATTGCCTGGCGAGTGAGGGTCAGGGGTGAGCAGCAGAATCACTCTTCATGTCTCACCAATATCTGACCCCGGGAGTGGAGTCTTGCACTCCTGTATCGGTATAAGAATATGGGGACATGGGGGACCCGTTCGAAACGATACTCACCTACAAGAAGTTTAAGTACTAACTGGTAACATAGTGACGATTAACTAAAAATTCCTAATTTTATTTCTTACGTCAATTCAATGCTGATGTTCATATTGTTTTCGAACAATTCTGCCGTCTAAGTAGGGTGCGTTGAAAACATTTATGAGGAATCTGTCATCTCCATCTTCAGGGTAGAAGATTACCTGCAGATAGCAGCAAAGGACTACTCTGAAAAGTTAGAAAAAGACCGCTTCCAAAGGCACCACCACCCCAAAACATGATCAACATAAAATTAATTTATGTTCCGAAACAAATTACGTGTACCTGAACAAGGAGCACGCATAAAATAACAAAACAAAAACCGTGGTTCCAGTCCGCAAGTGAACTATACCGACCGAGAGACCGCCGCTTGTCAGCGAAGTTAGTGCCAAATTTAGCGGCTAGAGGATATTGCGTGGTCAGCCCAACGAATTTCGACGGCCGTTAATTTCGGTTTTCTAGGCCGGAGCCGCTATCTCCTTGAAAGAGCTCCTCAATTATCCTCAAGAGGCTGAGTGGACCCCGTTCCAGACCCACTATTTCTCAGTAAATCTGGTAGCGGCGGGAATCGAACCCGGACCTCTGGATCTGTAGCCAAGAACTCTGACCACTAGACCACAGAGGTGGTCACAAAGGGCATGTACAGTTTGGTAAAATGAGGTATCGGACGAACTTAATTTAAATTCATATCGGTGTAATGTAACCTATGAAGATTTAATTCGGCTTCACTGAATTTATATAAAAAAAATATTATAAACGTTCCGTACATTAAAGACATTCAACTTTTAATTGAAACTATTTTTTAAACGGTGGGAAATATTTCACGAAACAGAAAGACAAATAATTGCATCTTTTTATGAAACCTAAATTTTCTTTTTAAATTCTCATATTGGGGGGTGGAGTCCAGCTGGTTCCAGTCGACACGTCGGCCACTGATTGGCATATTGTAGACTGCCCCGGGTGATTATGATGATGGAGAATTTGGTGGAATGAAGATTGGCAGGAGAAACCGAAGTACTCGGAGAAAACCTGGCCCAGCGCCACTTTGTCCACCACAAATCCCACTTGACCAGACCCGGGCTCGAACCCGGGCCACCGCGGTGGGAAGCCAGCGACTAACCGCTTGAGCTATGGCGCGGCCTTATGAAACCTATCTGCAGTGCTACTGGCTTTGGACTTTTACTTGCAATAAATTAGGGCAAATGAAGTTCGCAGAGTACGAGAGAAAAAACATAGAATTGGAAAATATGTGACCACTCTCCAATATTGTTTCATCTACAGTAGATCAGGTGGTGGGTCATGTTTCCTGTCGATCAGGACTGGTCTAATGTATTGGTGCATGAGCTACATGGACGGAAAATTTACGGGGCACATGCATAGGAATAGCCACGAACATATAAGGGAGATTAATGAAGTTTAGCCAGACACGGCAGCCGAGCGATCTAAGGCATATACTGTATTCGCTCTCTCGGAAGCCGGGATCATGGGTTCGAATCCCACACAAGGCATAGATGTTTGGTGTGTGTATGCGTCTGTTGTGTGTTTGTGTTGTCCTGTGTTTAGGTAGCGGCCTTGCGACGAGCTGATCACTCGTCCAGGAGTCCTACCGTCTGTCAAATAATCGAAATGATAAAACAATCTCGACACCATAGGATATAAGAGGAATGGATTAAGTAAAGTAAAAAAGTATGATTATTGTGGCTCTACAGCCCTTTGTTCCGCTTTGGGGGCTTTACCAGTTTCCTGATCCTATATACAGTCTGTAGGACTCCTTGAAAGGGGATCAGCCCGTCGCAAGGCCATGACCTACACATGAGAACACAAAATCAGAATAAACGCACACAATACAGACTCCCATGACTTGATCGGGGTACGAACCCAAGATCCCAGGATTCGAGCGAGCGAGACCGAGAGGCCACTGATCGGTACACAGTCTAACTATTATTCTAATAGCCCATCTGAAGGTAGGATCCTGACATTCTTTTGAAGGAAGTGAGAGAAGAGATTATGGCCAGGATGGAGACCCTGGAATTCGATTGGGATTTGAATGGAAGCAGGGAAAATATTTCGCTGTTGGATTTGAGGTTTTCACATCGGTCACTATGAAGATTACGAACTTATGGGTTGTAACGCCGTGTAGTTCGTATAAAGGCTCACGTTTCGGAGGAACATATCACTTGCCTCTTCAGGAATTAATAGTAAGCCAAGCAAGAAACGAGCATGAGGCAGGCGGCAAGCAGAGTAAGTGAACAGGACTGTATCCAGCCTTTATGTATTATGTATGATCTTTGCCGTTCCCTGTTGGCTTACTCTTCGAGCCTCCAGATGGCGTTTACGTTCCTCTGAAACGCTGCGAATTTCTTGAACTGCACGGCGTTACAACCTACAAGATCACACTCTACAAATATTTTTCCCGTCAGCACGATTTTGGCTTCCCAGAGAATATTTCATGTTTCGAGCGGAGAGGCAGCATTTCACAAGTCAATGGGAGGGCCTACAGAAAAAAAAAGACGCATTGGTTGAAACAATTGATGCTATTTCTATGGACATGGGTTTGAAAAACTCATTACACGACACCGCAAGCGTGTCAGGTCTTCCAGTGGACTAACTAACGTTTCAGTAGTAGAACCTGAAAGCTGAACATCAACAATACCTAAACCCGCCACTGGACACAATTCTGAGTTCTCTCACCATCACAACTTCTGTCTCTAAGACTGACTATAATATCATCAAACAAAACAAACTCCGTGGCTTAAGTCCGCAAGCGAACTATACCGACCGAGCGACCGCCGCTTGTCGGCGAAGTTAGTTAGTTAGTTAGTTAGTTAGTTAGTTAGTTATTGGAGAGGGTAGGTTTCCCCATGCACTGAGACCTGTAGTGGTCCATTGTGCTTCCCTCTATGATTTCTACCAGTCTCTATATCCTACCGGTACTGATGCTTACCATCAGTCCCGCCCAGCCAGCGAGACCGTCTCTACTAGCTGAGAGGTATCTATAACGCTTCCCCCATCTACCAGAGGTATTAGTGACTGCTGCTGGGCGGGAAACGTCCGTAATTTGGCTCAGTGACCTCCTTTGGAGATATGAGGTTCTTTTACGTGCCGTAAAGCTACGACACGGGACCCACGGCTTAAAGTACCTCCCGGAGGACTTGTTCCCTGAATTTTTCCGCCCTTAAAAATTCGACGACCTCCGCCGTGCATTTGAACCCGAGTACTACGAGTCATGAGGTGGGAACGTTACCTTTAGACTACGGAGGCCGCTTTGTCGGCGAAGTTAGTGCCAACTTTAGCGGATAGAGGCTGTCGCGTGGTCAGCGCAACGAATCCCCACGGCCGTTAATTTCGGTTTTCTAGACCGGAGCCCCTATTTCCTTGAAATAGCTCCTCAATTATCCTCACGAGGCTGAGCGGACTCCGTTCCAGATACACTACTTCTCAAAAAATCTAGTATCTCCGGGAATAGAACACGGGACCTCAGGAACTGTAGCCAGGAACTCTGAATGCTACAAACCAGAATGTAGCGGGTTCGAGTCCCGATGGGATATATATTTTTCAATTGAGCTAATCCTTCCAGTAGCAATGTGGCCCTGGGGTTGACTCAGACTCTAACAGAAATGAGTACCAGAAATCTTCCTGGGGGGTAAAAGGCGGCCGGCGCGTAAGGCTGACAACCTTACCGCCATCTGTGAGCCGACTGCCTACAAGTTATAGGAGCCTCAACCTCTCATAATCCTATGGGTCTTCACGGCCTATTACAGGGATAGCTTTAGCTTTACCTATAGTGAAAGAAAACAGGGCATGAATTTATGACACAAATCTGTAAAACTGAACGTGAGTGCCATCTCTGTGCAAGAATCAGAACGACTTACTGCAAACACTGTGACATACAGCATCACACTATGAGACATCCCCATTCCTCTTCGAATTATACATTAATTTGATAATTGTTTTTTGAAATCCTTCCTATGAATCATCTTTACATCGATAGTAATGACAACCTGAGAACTTGGAAGAAATATTTTGTGTTGTTTTCCGATGAAAACTAATATGGATGTAAAACCCTTGTAAAGCAAAACTGAACAACGTCTTCACTTTCTTAATTCGTTGATATCCCACCCCCCCGGCAGAAAGAGAGAGAGACTCAGTGGCCATAGGGTTTAAGCAGAGACGGCATACGAAACTCACATTACTGCATTGAATATGACATCTTACCTTACTATGAACTGAACAATTATTATCGTAATTATCATGATATTCACAGCGCATCTATAGTATATCAATAGACTTAAAATACTTTACAACTTTGCCCACAATAGTACTCTTAATTCTAGTTCAAGAATAGTGAAGGTAAAGGTAAAGGCAAAAGTTCCTTTGCATCCAAATGCCACGCTATGAACTGGTTGGTAACAGAGTTGTTGACTGGCCACTATACCTACCATTACTGGTCTCTCAAAGAGTGCGCTGTGCGGTACGGTGAACCCTCCTACCACAAGCCTCATAAAAGCCAGGTCTGACAGACTGGAGATCTTCGGCTCTGCATGGTTGGAGCTGACAGATGTCAGAAGGGCATCTGTCAGGAGAATTTTGGCTTTAGTTTTACGGTCTGGGCCCTCTTAAGGACCATAATACGTTCAAAGGTGTACAATGAACTCATCAGCGGTATAAACGCCTGGCACAGAAACAGGTGTCCCCCTTAGTCAATGGCAATACCAATACACCATGAAAACATAAAGGAGATGTGGAAGTAAAACAGTGTAAAACTTGGCACATACTTCGCGCTCCGGCCGTTTTACTCCCGGGGATAGAGTACCAGCTGTCCTTTGGTTGGGCCTTACACACTGTCCAGACGCAGTGACTAAACAAAATCTGCGGTCTTGACGGGAATCGACCTCAGTCCTCCAGCAAGTAGCCAGTCATTATACTTCCTGTTCGATAAACGTGACTCTTCCATAATTTGGCAGGCAGTAACCATGATTTTGACACTCACCGCAAGAGTCGGGAAGCCCGAGGGTTGTGGGCTGGCAGCCTGCACGTATCCCGCCACACTATCGGCCGCACTTGAGCTGTACATGTCGATCGGCCCGGGCGAGTTGGCCGGGGGGAATCCCCCCCGAGAATTGGCGGCTGCCGCTGCCGCCGCTGCGTGTGGAGACGCGGGGGGACCGAACCCCTGCGCTGCCGCCGCCGCTGCTGCCTGGTAGTTGTTCATGACTGCAAAGGAAACGGAGAAGTGCCGTTGGTGTGGTGGAGGAGGTGCATCTGCAGCCCCGGGTGCGGCCCCCGCTGCTGCCGCCACTGGCTGATGCGACTGCCATCTTGCGGTCGCTGGGGTCCCTTCAGAGACAACGAGACAACAAGCACACAAAAAGAACAGTCACACAATCAAACCACCAGCCACGACACAGAAACAGAACAGAATATTTGGTTCGGCGACTGCTTCCTGGAACCTGTAGGTCTTCATGAGTAGCGCGATGCGACTTTGCAAGGAAACTGGAAGGTCTAATACATGAAGTGGTGCTTTCAAAAGTTCTAAGTCAATGCAGACTAATTAATTTATGTGCATGGGCAGGTACAATCATTTAGACGTTGAAATATTAGTATTATTTTGTCAACCGATAGCCATATCTGAATTACTCGTAAGACAACAACTGCAAGTTCTGTTTTCGGAACACAATTTCAGAAACAATTAGCATGAAAACCATTAAAATCGCTTGGTATAAACAACAGGACCAATTCGGAATATTTCTGTCAATGTCTTTTATATTTGCCGATGTAAAAATACAGTCAAATTGCAATATACATGTCCGAGATAATTGTTGAAAGGTTCTTTGAAGGAAATGTTTTCTTAAACCGTCGTCGAAACTCTTGAGCGAGCATCATCAGCAAAATACATACAATTTGAGTCTAAGATATTCATGTTTTATTGCGTGAAATATTTGGAAAGCTGAAGAAAATGTGTGTTCAGACTCATCACATTGTATGACGTGAATTATGACGGAGTCTCGAATATTCGTATAACGTCATAAATATCCCAAATCGATTCTCTCTACTTATGCTTCATGAACACATGTTCGTCGAAGGAATTTGAAGTCATACCTTGAAGTTATCTTATGTGAATCTTTGGCCAATTCACGATGAATACACGTTATAAATTCCTTTAATTATTTTCATCCAAAGTTGTCTCATGAATATATAATTTTAAAGTTACATTTATTTCAGCCGAATCTTTAGACAAAGGGCGAAAATTTTCCTGTATAGTCAACTTCAAAAAAAACTTTCATAAGAATATGGTCTCTTTCTTTTCCCAAACCCAGCAAACCTCAAAGATACGAACACTGACCAATGATTATAGCAAATTCCGTGACAACTAAATGCGTCACATAACCTTAGAATTTACACTTCTCCATGTATTTAGACCTCCAATTGTCCATTTCATTAACATGGGTTAGAAGCAGGGGAGAAAAAGTGGGGAAGATAAGATTCCAAATAGTGTTAAAAATTTTACAAAAAAAAAAAGAGGAACATGCTTAGGAATCGTGCAAAATGCACAAACGTTATCATAAAAGCCAAGGCCATAAAAACTTCATAAAGCACATATAAAAACGTATACATTAATGATAAAGAGGAAGAAGTGTTAGTTGTTTTGGTACGGGGAGGGATGAAGAGGGATGAAGGGAGGGCGATATCAAAACCATTTATCACAAAGATAGCAAAAGCAACACACACACATTAGCCACTTTTGTATGAGTGATGGTGGTTTATGCTTTGTGTATTCCCAGTGTTTGTACAGCGGCTTCAATAGCAAACTATATTCACGCAAAATTAAGTCCTTAAATGTAAATCGACTGGAATGTAATACTATGACTGTACTGTGACTCGTTTTGTTCTCACAATTTTATCTCGCAGATAAGCTCCAGTAAATTCATGTTTAGAAATTTTAAAAGTGCGTATGATATGACCACATTAACAGATATGTGAAGACCGAATATATGATTTGCAGTGAAAGTCACGGCTTTAGAGGAGTGGGCAAATTCGCTTCCACCAAAGGAAGTGAACAACTTTTGGTCACTGCGATATGTTCAGGAAGGAGGCAAATGTATCCACCATACGCCACTTGTATACATTTTAATATTATCCTGACCAACAGCTGATGCTTCTGTGTCTTATGAATATTTATAGATTTCATACTCGTATAAAAATTTAATTCAAATTTCAACGATTTCATGAAACTTTTAATCTTTGCTACGACGATATTATTGAAACAAAAGTGAAAGTGTAGAAATTTGGGCAAATTTCTTTACTGCACGTACCACAAATCTGAAGATGGCAATATGCACAAAACATGTACTTCACTTTAAGCTATCACATTTTTGAGAAGATCAAAAGAACGTAATTAGGATCGTTGTTTTAAGAAATCTACTGATTTCATCACAATATATACGTTTCCTAATTTATTTGGAGACGCTTTCTCATCTGAATATTGAACAAGGTGTCGACAGGGTGAGCGACACTCGGGAATATAGAAATAAACAGTCCTACTCCACGGCAAAACACTGTGGCTGTACCTTCCTGCACATCCTGTAGAACAAAATGCTTTCCAGTACTTCTCGGGAGGGACTAAATAACAAGATACTATGCTGCTATCTGCTGGCGCACCTGAAGAATAACATGCATGATAGAAGAATAATATACTGTACCGACAGTTAACTCGTATTAAAATTCAACGCATCAGTAAAGGGGCCTGCTTTCGAAAGACCAACCCCACCGCCCATCGAAGACGAGGCCCCATTTTCAAAACAAACAGTGGTCTTAGAACTAAAGAAAAATGTGGTTATGGCTTAATCGGGGCCGGAAACCAAGAATGACCATGCTGGCAAAGACCAGCAGAAAATCACTGCTATGTTCTGATCGACCAGTGAGGCTGCTGTGATAGAAACTCGAGGAAGAAAAAGGGGACAAGACGAGAAGAAGAGGAAGAGGAAGTAGTGACCCATAAGCCGATCACAGTGGCTGGCCTGCCTAAGGTATGAAACGTCTTCGCCCGCTAGAACATTGGGATCGTGGGTTCGAATCCAACTGAAGGCACAGATGTCTGTTTGTGTTGTAGGTAGCGACCTTGCGACGGGCTGATCCCCCGTGAAAGGAGTCCTATCGACTGTCTTAGATTAAGAAACTGAAGTGAAACGAAGCGTTTGACGGATGTTCTACACGTATGCTCCAAGTGGGAGCAACAAAAATAGAAGAAGAATTGTCCAATAAATCCATTTCCGACTAGGACCTTCAGCGTTGCCATCTCACGTGACAACATATAAAGCATTATGAATTTCACTCAAAAGTAAGAAAGCAATAATTCTTAATATTTCCCTAAATCAATAACTGCTAACTCACCGAAAAATAAACAATTCGTTTTAACCTTGTAAATCATAGTGATAACTGTTGTAAGAAATGCTTCAACAGCACCTCTCCCTCACCCCCCCCAAATCCGTATCTTCCCCCAAAGGGTACATTTATGGGTTTCGTGTGGTGCTGAGAATACAAAGCGATTATTGCCCTAAATAGCACTGACCGGACAGTCACTGTACTGGGTGTACGTTCGATGACATACGAATCGATTTATTAAATATTATTTACATTAATACAAGGCTTCTAAGGTTAATTAGAATGAAACAAGCCAGAAAACAAGGCATGTGACTGTGACAGTAAGCAGTACTCCGGGCAGGACAGAGGGCATCGAGCCCGGTACTGCATTTACTTACATGGTCTAACAATGGCCCGCGAGACATAACGAATGAGAATATGAATAAGAATTTTATGCGAAATGGACGACATTTGGAATGGAAATAATTAAGTGACTAAAGTAATAACAATGATTCAATAAAAATTCCTCTTTTAAATAGCAATGAGGCGAGCCCTCTATATTCCCAAAACAAAAAACAAACTCCGTGGCCTGTAGTCCGCAAGCGAACTATACCAACCGAGCGACAGCCACTTGTCGGCGAAATTAATGCCAACTTTAGCGGTTAGAGGATGTCGCGTGGTCAGCGCAACGGATCCCAACGGCCATTAATTTCGGTTTTCTAGACCGGAGCCGCTATTTCCTTGAAGTGGCTCCTCAATTATCCTCACATGGCTGAGTAAACCCCGTTCAAGATCCACTACTTCTCAGAAAATCTGATAGCGCTGGAAATCGAACCTAGGACCTCTGGATCTGTAGTCAGGAACTCTGATCACTAGACCATAGAAATGGTCTATGTCCCCCGTAAGAATAACAGTTCCAACAATTTATTATAGTGGAACGGTTAATGGAGTGATTAGTATTGTATCGGAAGGCATAAGCTTTTTGCGGTGAAAGAGTTAATGCAAGTGAATAAGAAAATATTGGAAGATGCAGGGAGACCACAAAACAAGTAAAATGAGAGCACGGAGAGAGAAAGCGAATTCGAAGGAACTCCTCACTTTGTGGAACAACTTTCTTAGACGTGAAACGAATTTGGCCCCAAAATGATACCGTCATTTTTTATTTGTTATATTAAGTTGAAGTTAAAAATAAAACAGAACAGAAAGTAGGGAAAGAAAGTTTCCAAAAGACATTTTTAGGTTGGTTTAGCATTTTCGACATTCTTCAAAATGAGGCATTTCGCAGCGAGAAGGGCGGATGAGAGAAAGAAGCAGAAGAAATAAATTGTATAGCCCACTTAGAGGCAAACCCTGGCACCATCTACTTTATCACATTCTGTAACGAATTTTTACACCTCATGAACTATGAATGCGTAGGGGCGTTTGGCAATTCATAAAGTAGAAGTCGCAAGAAGGCATGTTCTTTCTACGTCAGAGGGAAAAATCAGTCAAATGGCACAATAATGACAATCACACTGACTACAAGAGAACGCTTGTACACCTACACTGGTATAGGTTGAACATTTTCGCGATCTACCAATATCTTTTATTCCTTCTTGGCGGCATTTCGTAGTGGATTAACGCTGTATGTCTTCTGAAATTGTATATGCATATTAGATCCAATTTTCTCCTGAGTAATTTCATTCTATTATACTGCAAATTTACGTTTTCATTATCTAATAATTATGCACCAATTTCGATAAAATGGAGAGCACTGCATCATGCCATCATATCGTCATACTGTTTATGGCGCTCTGTCTCCGACGACTAGGTTCCCGTGGGACCTTTAGCCCTTACTCCTTGTAGTCTTATTGGACGTCCAACAGCCTCTTCTCCGCGCCAGCTCAGGGTCTCGTTGAACGTGAACTCGCAATTCAGGATGAGGTGCTGCTTCAGTTCTGGGTTCCTCACCCCATCGATGGACGGACGCGTTGCCT